TAATATTTGAAAAATAAAATATTACCATTTCCCTGGTAAAATTGATATGTTGAACCTAAAATATAAGTCTGGTTAAAATTAAATCAGACTTTTTGAGTGGTTTTGCATGGTTTTGCTTACCTCAAGCCCAACTATGCAATGACTAAATTAACACTCAGTAATAAAATTACAATTAAAATTTAATTTTTTTAGAAATACGAGTTGATTAAAAATGTTACATTTAAAAAAATGACGAACTTAATTTCCTTACAAATTAAAAATTCATAAACTTAATGTTCAGGCCCGTGTACAGGCCTGACATATGAACATATATTGCCCGTATATGAACAACAATTGTAAATTGTTAACTATAAATATAGTTTGAAATAAATAAATAAGACATGGAAATTCATGAACTTTGCTTTAAAAGAAAAATTTTTAACTGTTTTGTGTGATGCTCGGATTAATTGAAGGAACTACAACTTGATTAAATTGGTTGTCACAGCATGCTTTACTCTATGTTCACTATGCATGCTTACTAAACAAGTTACAGCAATAAAGAAGAAAATAAGTCAAACTATTGAGTAGTATTTTGATAAAAAAAAGCTTGTTTATCAAAACGGCAAACAACTTGTAAATATTTTATATAAAGAATATTTTAAACATTGTGTGGAGTAACCTCGTAATTCATTGGAAAGTTCAACAATCTCTTTTAATACTTTTATTAACAAAGACTGTAACACGAGCCCACTACTGGGCCTAACCAACTTTAGAAAAAACGTTTATTAAGGCCCAATTTATTAGGAGCCTTTGATAAAAAAAAATCTAAACGGTCTTTTTTTATCAAAGGTTAGAAGAAAGCCTCACTAAGGTGTCCCGTTCCCGCACAGTTTTTGAACGACAACACCAACTTTTAAATTGAGTTTTAGACAAAGAAAATAATAATATTTACTGAGTATTTTTTAAAAATAAAAAAATTCAAGCGTCCCCCACTAAGAAAAAGTTGAAAAAATCTGTTCGGTGCACTTATGCTACCGCATAAGTGCACCGAACATATTCCAAAATTTTTAAATTTTTTCGGCGCACTTAGTCAAGTATGCACTTATGCAGATATTTGCAAATTCTATTGAAGCACTTATGCCAATGTTTGCAAATTCTTTCGGCGCACTTATGCCAGTTCGCGCTTGTGCCAGTTCGCACTTATGCCAGTTTTTGCAATTTATTCGCACTTATGCCAGTTCACACTTTGCTAGTTCGCACTTATGCCAATGTTTGCAAATTCTTTCGGCGCACTTATGCCAGTTCGCGTTTGTGCCAGTTCGCACTTATGCCAGTTTTTGCAATTGATTCGCACTTATGCCAGTTCGCACTTATGCCAATGTTTGCAAATTCTTTCGGCGCACTTATGCCAGTTCGCGTTTGTGCCAGTTCGCACTTATGCCAGTTTTTGCAATTGATTCGCACTTATGCCAGTTCGCACTTATGCCAATGTTTGCAAATTCTTTCGGCGCACTTATGCCAGTTCGCGTTTGTGCCAGTTCGCACTTATGCCAGTTTTTGCAATTGATTCGCACTTATGCCAGTTCGCACTTATGCCAATGTTTGCAAATTCTTTCGGCGCACTTATGCCAGTTTGCACTTATGCCAGTTCGCACTTATGCTAGTTCGCACTTATGCCAATGTTTGCAAATTCTTTCGGCGCACTTATGCCAGTTCGCGTTTGTGCCAGTTCGCACTTATGCCAGTTTTTGCAATTGATTCGCACTTATGCCAGTTCGCATTTATGCTAGTTCGCTTTTATGCCAATGTTTGCAAATTCTTTCGGCGCACTTATGCCAGTTCGCGCTTGTGCCAGTTCGCACTTATGCCAGTTTTTGCAATTGATTCGCACTTATGCCAGTTCACACTTATGCTAGTTCGCACTTATGCCAATGTTTGCAAATTCTTTCGGCGCACTTATGCCAGTTCGCGCTTGTGCCAGTTCGCACTTATGCCAGTTTTGCAAGTGATTCGCACTTATGCCAGTTCGCACTTATGCCAGTCGCACTTATGCAGATTCGCAGTTATGAAATTCGCACTTATTCAGTCGCCCCCATTTTAACACTGTTTTCAAAACTTAGATAATTAATTTTTTAACTAGCAACCCGGTTTTTATTGTCGTTTTCATATTAAAAGATGTACATTCATCATATTTTTCATCCATTCAAATAATACATCCATCTCATCTCAATTACAGTACATCCAAGTAATCTAAGTCTTTGTAATAAATAATAATAATTTAATTGCAATAAAAAGTGATGAACAGATAAAAAAAGGTGCTTTCCTTGAAAATCAAACAAAGCCTAGAAATTTTTTTCCAGAATACACTGTGATCAGTATTGTGGCTAATTGGTTTGAGCCCCACCCCCACCCCCTGAATCTATTATAAGGGCAATAAATTCTTGAAACTTTTTTTCACAAGGCATTACTTAAAATAAAAAGGCCCTTAAATTTGTATAAGGGCCCCTGAATTTGCAAATGGGCCCCCTAAATTTGCTATCCCCCAACTAGAGTGTGTGGGGTAGCCATTTATGGCTTTGGCTTGGACACCACTTGATTTAGTGTTGATACAAGTTTGTTTAAACCGCAGTTTGTCAAAGCAGCTACTATTTGGTTGCAATATTGTTTTTCATGGCAACGTTAAGCATATTCTTTCAAAAGGTTTGTTTTTTGCAACTGTGAAGAAGAGCAATGGTAAAAAAGAATGTTGAACATCGTTTCTCAACTGCTAATTATTTTTTGGGTTATACCTTTTGGACAGTGCAAAATGATTTCGGGTGATCTATGCTTAAATTAATGCTGAATTTTGAGTTGTTCAATGAACTTTCATCAATTGACAATCAAACAAGGATTGTAGAAGAATCTTCATCTAAATCGTAAAAAATTGATTTCAATTTTCAAGCGTCAAATATTGTTAAAATCAATTTGATAATCAAAAACCTTTGTGAAATATAAAACTAAATATAAAACTTGTTAGTTTTTTGTAAGGAAAAAAAAACCGATTTTTCCACATGGTTTTTTGCTTTACCCAGTATTTTGAGAAAAGTAAAATGAGAAAAAATTTAAACTTATAACTGTATTGTAACCATTTCCCACAAAATTTTGCTTTTGTTTTGAAATTGAACTGTTTTTAAATTTGAAGTAGATATTTTTTATATTGAAACTAAATTTTAAACAAAACAAACAACTTTTAATCAAAACAAACAACTTCATATATAAAATCACAATATTATCTTTAAAAGCAAATTTCATACTCTCAGTTAAAAAAATTAAATATATAAATGTAAAATTTTATCTATACGTATCTTATTAACAAATTGATATATAAAATCAGGGTTTAAAGGAAACAGTTCAATTTGGTTAAAAAGAAACAATTCAACTGACCATGCTATTCCTCAACTCACACGCATTCACCTCTATTGGCAGTGTTGTAGGCCTTCGATACTGTCAATCATGAAATCTTTCTAAAACAACAAGTCTCTTATGGTATAAAAGATAAAACATTTAGTTGGTTCAAAAGCTATTTGTAAACTAATTTTAAATAATATATTTATAATCAAAACTTTGTTTTTCAAATTTTATAACTGTTGATGAAAATTGTTAAATAATCCTAGAAGTTTTTTTTATTCATCTTAGAGAAATCACAATGACAGTACCACCTAAAAAGTTGTTAAACGCATAGTATTAAATTCGACTAGTACTTCCTTGCATCAGAAGATAAAAAAAAATTTTTTTTTACTAAATAATATTTTTATTTACTTCTAAAATTTATTTCTCCTTAATTTTATTTTAAACTTATTAATGTATTTAAAAGTAATGTATATAACTACAAAAATTGTAAAATTTTATTATCTACTTATTTCTTGCTTACTGGTTAGTTATTTGTTACAGGACTTAGTGATAAGAGATCATCTAGTCTTAATGCATTTTCAATATATGTGTATTTTTTTTGTCGGTGTAAGCGTAATAATATATATGCTTTACGAAATACGGAATGTAAAATATTTATTAATATCATTAATTATTAATTATATAATATTTGTATAAAGCATCGTTTTATATACTAATATTGCTTTTGTAATTATTTTTTAATAATGACAGTAGTCTTTTTGTTTTTTTAGTGATTTCCAGTCCACTTTATTCACCACTAGCTTCTATTTTATTAACTAATTATCAATGCGACAAGAGACTATATTATTTAAAAATATAAAATACAAAGTGTTTTAATTCTAAACTTCATTTCTTTTCATTTTGTCTCTGAGGATAAATTTGAGAAATAAATCAAAAGATCCACAGTAGGTATTAGTATCTTGAAATGGTGGTTTTAACTTTTCTACGAACGGTCATTAAGTAATTAAATGTAACAAAAATGAATAGTTGATAAAATGTGATAAAAATAGTTAGCATAGATATTTAAAAACAATAACAACCACGCTGATGCTTGTTGTTGTGCGCGTCAGTGTTTGTGTGTGTATATAAAATTGTTGCTTTTTATATTTATTTTTATTTGATTTTTAGAAAAAATATTAAACATGGTCTAGTTCAGGTTTATTAACAACTTTAATTAATGTTTAATGTATTTTAACTGAGGTAACCAATTTTTTTTTTAAAGCTGAAATACCTGTGATATGGAAAAAACTAATAGTTTGCAAACTAAAATACTGGTATTCGAATTGCATTATAAATTATTGATGTTTATATCTAACGGGTATATTTTAATGGAAGAATCGCATTTTAATTTGGAATTTATAATTGTTAATTCAGTTCAGGTTTTCACTTTTTTAAATAGACTCGTCCTAATATAATTTAATCAGTAGCTTTATTTTTTATTTTGATGAGTTTTGCTATAATCGAAACGTAATTTTAATATAAGGCTCGCCTCGCTTAATACGCTTAATAAACTAGCGTTACATAAAATCTTCTTCCGTTAGATTTATTGTTTTCAATTATCTTTGGTAACTATTTTTATCACGTGTCAAATGTTTACCTAAAATGTGCGCATTTATTTTCCATATAAAATTTTGACTTGCAATAAATGAAAATGAAAATTAAATTCTAACTACATTAAATAGAATATTACGGTTGAAGATACAAGATTTTCAATTGCAATTCGTTTATTCCTAGTAATATTTTTTAATTTTTTTTAATCGAGAAATTATACGAGAAATTGATTAAATTGATTGAAGACGAGAATTGATTGGGATATATTTTCATTATGTTCAACAACTATCATTAAGGTACCCATTAAATATATATTAGTCATAAATTAGTAATATGCAAATTTAAATTAATATTATTATTTTTAATTTTTTTCAAATTTAAATGTTATTACTTTAAATTTACTTGTCAAATTTAAAGTAATATTTTTACTTTAAATTTGTCATAGTTATTTTACGTTATACATATTTTGAAAGTTAATAAAAAGAGTTATTAATAAAAAGTAGCAGATTGATATCGCAAGGGAAGAGAATAAAAGAACTTTTTTATATTTATTTGTTTTTTAAATTTCGAGGATTTTGCACCAAGACTTTTATCCTGAAATGCTCGCATGCTCGTTATTATAAATTATTCTATTTGGTTATAAAACTAATTCAATATAAACCCAAAAAGTCAAATTTTAATAACCATTGCAGTTATAAATAATAACAAAATAATTTGGAAATAACTGAAACTTTCAAAAAAAAACATGTAGAAATAAGATTAACAATCTAATAAAAGAACTTCATGACAATAAACAAAATTTGAGAGCTTCATGTAAAATCATCAAAGATACATTAAAATATCTGTGTTTATTATATTAATATAAATGTTAATGTAATACATCCAGCATACTATTAACAATATCAATCTGGTGCGAGTTTTATTGATATAAGTATTACATGTGTTAATATTACCTGACATTATTTTAATATATACTCTCCATATATAACCCCTAGCCCTTACAAAGATCCAGGAGTTAACTATAGTCATTTAGACCACTCTAATTTTTTTCTCAAATATTTTTATACCCTTTTCTCAATCTATTGACTCTTAATATGAATCCTGACAAAAAAGATTTGCTAAAGTTGTTGTGGGTTTAAACTCCATATCTTTTGCTTATGAAGCCAGAGGTCTACCATTACAACACTGCAACATTACTGCATTACTTGAAAAATTATAATCTCATGGAATCATAAATGGTGACTTTACCATTTATAATTTCATAAGAATTTAATTTGGTGAACTCACCTTTTTAATTACTCAATAAATTAATTGCCATAGTTTATCTATGATATGCTGAGTAGAAATCTCTATTATGGAGAACTTATATTATTAAGAGTTCTACAAAGTTTTATATTTGGACCATGATTATTTACTTTTTTTTTAAAAATTTTTCTTTGTATTCCCATGACAGGAAAATGGAGTGATCTATCTTCTGATCTTATCAGGAAGAGGTAGCTAAGATTTAGCTACCTCTTCCTGATAAGATCAGAAGATAGATCACTCCATTTTTCTGTCATGGGAATACAAAGAAAAATTTAAAAAAAAAAGTAAATAATCATGGTCCAAATATAAAACTTTGTAGAACTCTTAATAATATAAGTTCTCCATAATAGAGATTTCTAAAGTATGGGGCTATAGCAATTTGCTCTAAATTATAAAAAAATTTATAATTTAAAGCAAATTGCTATAGCCCCATACTTTATAAATGTACTTTATAAATATATATAAAACTTATAAATATAATTTATATATATATATATATATATATATATATATATATATATATATATATATATATATATATATATATATATATATATATATATATATATATATATATAAACAATTTTACAAACTTTTAAAATTCAGAAGTTTCTGAATTTTAAAAGTTTGTAAAATTGTTTATATGAAGATTTTTTGAAATTATCCTACAAATTTTAAATATTTTATTTTTTTGTTAAATGGATTTAATTTATGAAGCATTTAAATTATGTTCATATTTAATAATATGTCTAAGTTATATTAAAAAATATATCAAGTTAAGAAATTTTTAATTAGATATGTGTAAATGTTTTAAAAAAAAATTTATTAGAAATATATAAAAAATATTTTAAATTATTTTATATGAGGAACAACGATTGTGTATTTTTATCTGTTTATTATTTTTTGCATTTTTATTTAATTTTTTTTTTTTTAGTATTAACAATGTAATTTTTTGTTTGCCGTAGTTTAAATAATTTTTTGTTTCTAAGCAAATATTGTTTTCTTTAAAAACATTTTTTTTAAAGGAATTTTCGAAAGCATCCTATTTTTTAGCAAATAATTACTTACTAAAAATAATTACATATCACATTTTAAATTTGATATGCAATTGTTTGGCATGTTATTTTGTGTATGCACAGTAAATCTCAGTATGAAATATTTTCTAAACAATAAAAGATTAAAAGTGTTGCATTTCAAATTTTTATAAAATGTGAACATGCAAATAAAAGTATTAAATTGAAAAAATTTTAAATTAATTTTATACTTTTGTACATGATTTAGTTTACACTATTTTAGTATGTTACAGTTGTATTGATTTTTTTTTAAGCATTTGTATTGGTTTTTTTTTAATTCTACATTTCAATCATTTTATCACTTTTTTTTTGTAGAAACTGATATAAAGGCAAACTATGTTTAATATATTCATTTAAAATATATTTATTTATGCATTCTTGAGTAAATTTTTTGAAGGTTTAATTTTTAAAATATTTCTATTAATTTTAATTTCAAATAAATTTTTGTCAGAATAATTTTGTTAAAAAAAAGAGTTTATAAACATTCTAGAATTAAATTTCTATAGAAGTATTATTTGGAATTGTCACATGGTTTTTTATGTTTGTATGCTTAATTATTTGTTCAGTTGAGAGGATTGAAAAACAGTTTTACTTTTTTGTCAAACTTTTTCTTGTTTAATTATTAAATTAAATTTTAATCCTAAAATGTTTCTCAAAAAAGCATTTTTATATTATATTCTCTTTCTGTATTTCTCTGTAGTTAGTTAAAACTTTAATATGGTTCATATTAAAGTTTTTTTTTTAATCTTTATTGTGTGGTCCATGTTAAAATTGTTAAATTAAGTTACTAAAGTATATTAAATATTTATTAAAGTTATGCTATTAAAATATATATATATATATGTAAATACATAAGCTATTATTTGTTTGTTATTTTATATTAGTAATTTTTAATTATAAATTTTCAGTTTTATCTATGAATCTTGCTATTTATTTTACTATAATAATTGTATTATATTTATCATTTTTATATTTAGATTAAAGATATTTTATATGGATGGCAAGTATTACACATTCTAAAAAAGGTTCAATACAAGCTCATTTCAAACCAAAAAATGTTTATTCAGAAGAAACAAACTTTTATAACAAAGATCGACCCACTGCATCTATAAAGATTACAACACCAAATTTTCAAAAAAAGATAGAAGTATATATTTTAAGTTTTATTTATAGTTTTCATATTAAAAAATTATTATTGGCTATAACTTTATCTTTATAAGAGCAAAAGTTTGAAAAAAATGTTTCAATCTTTGAATGAGTGTTAATCAAAAGTGTATAAAAGAAATTTTGTGTTTAAGTTTAAGTTTTAAGTTTAAATTCTTTGGAATTTCGAAGCATAAACAGCATAAATGTTTATTTATTTATAAAATATTAGTTGATTTTTATGAATGTACATATTTTTATAGACATTTAAATAGGTTTTAAAAAAATGAAACATTCTATAAGTTGTAATGTTGTCAAACATACAATATTAGTGTATAAATAATATAATGTATAATTGTAATATGATATTTGTACTAATAAAATATTCATTCATACAAAATCTAAAAGTTTTAAATGTTTAACAGTGTTAAATGCAAGCAAAGTTTTAATTCTTTGTTTTTATTGATGTTCAATCTATATACTGCGCATCTAAGCAACACAGCAATGTAGATATTTTTTAGGCAAGTATTTTTAAACTTTTAAACACTTTTAAAGCTTTTAATCAGTTTAAAAGTTCTTTTTTATAGCACTTATACTTTATTTAATTTAAATTTAACTTTATTTTACTTATTTAACTTAAAAATCACTTTAGAAGAAAAAAACCATATTGAAGATCAATATTTTTCAATATTTTGTAAGATATTATAATTTCCATTAAATTTTTTTTTTTTTTTATGCGATAGGGAAATAAGACTTTTATGTGATAAGGAAATAAAGCTGAGCTGTTTCATGTGATAAGGTAAAAAGGCTAAGCTGTTTCAAGTATTAATGTTCACTTTTTTTTATGACATTAATTTTGATTCTTTGAAAATTTGAGGTTCAATGAATATCTGAGGCGAAACAATGTACAACTGAGGTGAAATGCTATAAAAGCTAAAAGAATATCTTTTAACAGTCTGTTAAATAGATTTTTGTATATATATGAAAAAAATCTAAAAGTTTTTACTAAAAAAAGATTTATTGATTTTTTCTTTAATTAAAAACAATTAAAAAAATTATTTCATATTTTAAAAATAGGAAAAATGCAAATAAAAGAGGTGTTATTTTATTTTCTATTATGTTAAATATATGCAGTCTAAGGTTTTCAAAGAATATATACAGGTAAAAGGATATCAGAATGCAGTGGGGCCTCAGAATGTCAGGTTAGAAATAAACCAACATAGAACTCAATTTTTAAAAATAAACTTTGAAAGCGTTGAATAATCTGAATAAAGAATATAATGTTAAATTATAAATAAAAAAATATTACATTTAATACTTAAAAAATACTATAAATTACAAAGACATTGAAAAAAATCTATAAGCTATTAACATTTTTTTTAACAATAATTTCGAACATTTCAAGCCCTTCTAAAAATAAGTTTGCAGAACATTATAAGAAATGTTGCCTTAAGACTCCAAAAACAGTGCTAAAAGGATGTGGGCGCAGAACAAATCCAATTTTCTTTAAATTGCTTTTTAAAATACCTAGCATTTTGAGGTGCTGCACCTAACGTTTTGAGTTACCAAATTAAAAACTATATAACAAACTTCAGTGATTACTTTTGATAATTTTTTTTTTTAATAACATTAACAAACTTAAAAGAAATTTTATGAACAAAAAATATAAAAATAAGGTCCTGTAAACTTCAATCAAATATCAGCAAATAGAGAATTCTAATTCTGGATTGTATTCTGGTTTGTGTTCTGGTTTTTATTCTACGTTGTATTCTGGATAAAATCAGTTATAGAAATGAAGTTTTCAACGTTTTCTTCATCAGACTCAAACTGAAGGCATTTTTAGGGTCCTACTTCACAAAATGGTTTGATCATATTCGGTTTTAAGCCTGTTTTACCTTGACATGATGGTTTACTACATGTAGATTTCAAAACATTATGGCAACACAAGCATTCTCGAAGCTTAGTTGCTGCACATCGACCCGTGAACCTGGGTAATTTTAACATTTTCCTTTTTTTATTTTAGGTGTTACTTTGGTTAAAGTCAACAAGTTAGGTATTTCTTCCAGTGATATTGGTTTATCAGATATTTGTTTGATAAGCTTCCAAAGCACTTTCGTAGTTATGTCTCCAATATCTTGCTGAACAATAGCAAACATTTTTTGGAGATGAAATTGTTAGGGCTGTCGGTATTTTCATAAATACACAGCTCAGCTCGTAAAAACTTATCTTCCTGCATCCATTGAGTCCTCGACTTGAAATGCCAACATTTTTACCTGCATTTATGATTGTTTGTTTTGAGGCCCACTCTGGCCATAACTCTGCAAGTATATTCATGAAACCTTCTCTGTTGATCGTCATAAATGAAGAATAAAATACAGATTTAGCACTTCTGTACTCAGAGTGCTATTTTTGATTGATTTGGTCAAGGAGCTGGGTAACGCCAGTTGTGTTGAGTGGATTGATAAAAAGTCTAATATTTTTGCTTCTTAAAAATGTCAATACATCACTGTCAAATCTTGAAGAGTTAACCACCAAATAGGACAACAACAGGTCGTTTTATGTTTTTTTTTTCTAAATAGTGGTCAAACAGCCCAACCACATTTATTGTTAATTTTGCACCACTCAACTGCTTCCTCTAACTGCTTACTTTCATCACTATGACATCTCTTAGAACATTGCATCTTGATTTGCTTGTTGGTTTAGTTCTAAAGAACTTTCTCATTTCTTATTTATTCTCTACTGCAAAGAAATATAAAAACACACTTACGTCATATACTTTAGAAATACGCACTTGTAGTAAAATGCACTTTAGTTTAATTTATTTATTTGTTCAAAAACAAACAAAGAAAACATACTAAAGTGTGCTTTGAAAGAGGTTTCGTATAACGTCAAGAATAAATTGAATGCAAATAACTTTTTTTTATATATATAAATTAACTTTCATTTATCTAGCATTTTGAGGTCCCTTAACCTAGCATTGTGTGGTGGATTGAAAAAAGTATAAAAGATAAAAAAACCAACCATTTAAAAATATATTCAGCATTAAAAATAAATAATATATGCAGAAATTCATGATTAATGAAGCAATATTGACAACAATACTACCTTTTATTTAACTTGACATTCTGAGGTCCCAAACAAAAAAAGCATGTCCTAAATATTTATTTAAAAACATATAAAAACTGTATTAAAAAACTACTAAAACTTTTAGGCAATCTAGCAGGTGTGTTTTTTTAACTTACAGAAGTAAAAACAAAGCATATGTTCAAATATTTGGAGTTTAGCAGAATTTTAAAAAACACCTAACATTCTGAGATCCCTTTACCTGTACTTTAAGATTTATAATAAACAGTTTCCTCTGAAAATAATGTAATCTTTGAGTAATATAATAAACAGGTTTCAAAATTTAAAAAAGAAAGATTAATCTCTCTTTTTCGAATTTTGCAAAATTTTCTTGCTATAAAAAATAAAAATAAAAATTTAATTACATTTGTCAACCATGTGTTAATTTATGATGATCATCTAAAATATCTAAGAAAAAAATGTTTTTTGAAACTGCTAGTTAGTTGTTCTATGCATCTTCTTTTATTAAAGATGCTAGAACAAATTCTATGTAGATTGTAATATTGGTTTTCTACTTCATGGCTGCTGATTGCTAATACACATGAAGTTTTAAGTTGTTTTTTCTACATTATAAATATAAAACACTCTTTTTGAAATTTAATTAAATTTTTTAAAATATTGATCAAGAATTTAGTATTTTGAATACTAAATCAAACAACAGCAACAAGGATACAAACATGCTAATTTTTTTCAATAATATATATGCCAAAATTTATTATTACTATAATTATAATATTATTATCAAGTTAACTATATATATGGTAAAATTTATTGTTTACTATATTTATTATTAAATTAATAATATATATACCAAAATTTAGCCAAAAGTGAACCCGAGTATTTAATACATCCTTTAATTGGTAAAGAAGGAGCTTTTTAGTTAAATAAGTGGTGCTCTGTGACAAGACCATAAAGATATCTTGGATAACCTTAAAGGGATCTCAAAGTTCTAAGACAAGTTGTGTTCATATCTTAAATAAAGCTTATAAAATAAATTTAGAATTAATCAAACTTACCAAGAAAATTATTTATTGAGATATTAACAAAAAACTTTTTCATTTTTAATGTCATATTTATTTTGGCTGAATTTTTTATTTTTTGTTATTCACCTCCTCAAGGCCGAGAAGGCCACTACAGACAAGGAGACTAACTAATAGTGGTTATAACCCTCTCTCAACTCTATAACTCCGAAACAATAACCTTGACGAACTCCGCTGCGTGGAGAAACAAGTTGAACGCGGTGCTACTACTCGCTTATGAAGCGAGTCTTGTACCACTACACCACTACCGCATTTTAGCATAGTTTAGAATGTCACCATATTTTCAGCTTAAAATGTTTAAAGAATTGTTTTACACATTTGTACCATAGTAGGCAAAAATGAGATCTCAATTATATTACATATAAGTACGTAATATCAAATTAGACCAAATCAAGTAAAGGATTTACTAACACTAGTGCTTTACTAACCTTGTGTAAACTCCTTCATTAATTGAGCACTGTTTTAGTCTACTATATTTTCTAAGTATACAAATAAGTAAACTTCAAACAAAAATGACAAAGTTTGTGCACAAAAAATATAGCAATAGTTAACTCAAGTTAAAAAAGTTTTTTTCATCTTTCATGTAAATGAAAATCAATCTGTTATATTAACACATCATTTTTTTGCCCTTGAATTATGAACATTAATTTTTTAATTCATTGAATCAAAATTGATTAATTCATTGAAGTATGAACATTAATTTTTCAAGAATTTTTTAATATTAGGCATTAGTTTGTTTTTATTTAGTTTATAAATGTTGCCACATATACTTTTACTTTTAACCAAAGGTGATGCTAAAAGAAACATTTGGGCTATTTTCTAAATTTTCAAAAAAAAGTTCCGCAGAAACTTGCTAAATACGTTTTTTAAATTTAGGATAAGTTGGCTTTTCAAATGCTTAATCGGTGTCATAGATATTATAGAAAGGGTGCAAGGTAATTTAATATGGTAGTAGATAATCTTAGAATACATAGCTTACAATATAAAGGTTTATATTCACCCTACCTACAGGTTTATGTCCACCTTGTTTAACAAGATTTTGGAGTTTAGAGTTGAGAGAGAGAGAGTTACAAGTAAAATTAATAAAATAAATAATAAAAATATAAAAAGGCTTCCTGCTGCCCCTGATTGCTATTAAAAAAATAAAGCAAAAATTAATGCAAAGGTAGTTTTTGACCTTTATTTATTGACTGTACAAAAATAAAAGTTATTATTCAATTACATTTTATGATTAAAACTGTCACCAAAATGCACTTTAAGGTTGTACAAAGTTAATATATATATTTTACAGCTCAATTCAATTGAGCTGATTTTGATTGGTTGTACAAATTGATTATATTTGTCAATAGAGAGTTATTTCTAATTGATTGATTGTACAAAGTTAATTTTGATGAAGTGTTACTTTTGATTAAATTTTGAAAAATAATGGTTTTATCATTATTAATAATTTTTAATGTGATAAAATCAAATTTGTTTCATAGAAAACTTTTATATTTGTCATTGATGATACAATATGGGAAGCCAAACAAAAAGTTTTGACAGAGTTTTCAAACTTGGAATTCAGAGACCCTTTAAATTTTGGATTTTACTTACCTCCAAATTCTGGAAGAGCTGGAAAGTTTTTAGATGAGTCAAGAATATTAAAAGATTATCCAATGGCCCTATCGGAGGCTCAACTTGAAGTGAGTTTTACTGGAAATGTTCTTTATATAAGTTCAATATTTGAAATTTTATTATTGTTATTAGGTTTTTACAATTTGCTTGGCCTATTTCTAGTTTCGATATAAACGAAGAATATTTCGTCACATTCATACACAAGATGAGAAGAGGTTATTAAAGATAAATACCAAGGTAGCATTTTTTAAATATGAAATATAATGTATGTGAAATATGAAATATAATGTTTGTGAAATATGAAATATAATGTTTGTGAAATATGAAATATAATGTTTGTGAAATATGAAATATAATGTTTGTGAAATATGAAATATAATGTTTGTGAAATATGAAATATAATCATTGTAAAAATGTGAAATGTAAAATAAGTAATTATATTCAAGAGTTTGTTGATTAAAAATTTAAATTGTCTTGCTAATGAGAAGATTGGATGGAAATAAGGATGAAGGATGGACGATGAAAGATTGATGATTGGATGGTAGTTGGAAGGATCAGAGCAATCTTTACAGTTTTTGAAAATAAATTAGATGTAGTTTTATCAGTCAGATATAGGTTTATCAGTCAGATATAGGTTTATCAGTCAGATATAGTTTATCAAAACAAATTTCAGATAACTTGTTAAATATATTTGGGAGTACAGAAAAATGTTCTGACAAACACTATTCCAAAACTGTGAATGAAATGTTGTCAAGACTACAAGCTAAAGAAAATTCTAATTGAGAAATGAGTTTAACCATGGAAACCAGGTGTCTAATAAAGAGTTAATATTTTTTTTATTTTTTTTTTGAAATTTCTTTAAATTTTTTTTTGCCCAACTTAATAAACGACACTGCTATTTATAAAAATTATTTGAATTATAAATAGAGAAATGATTGAACAAAGTTGTTTTAATAGGGATGTGATTGAACAAGGTTATCTTAATAGGGGTGTGATTGAACAAGGTTGTCTTAATAGAGATGTGATTGAACAAGGTTGTTTTAAAAGAGATGTGATTGATTTTTTATTAGATAAATGTTGATAGGAGTAGTGCGGACAAAGAAAAAGGAAGTTGCAAATTTAAGTGTTCATCAGTATCATTTCTTGATGCCACTATTTGCGTTCTACCTGATATAGCTGTCAAACAGGTTGATTCATTGCTCGACATTCGTATCACTTTAGCTTCTGTATCTAAAGTGATTTCCCACTTAGATTCTTCTACAGCTTGCGGCCTGGACAACATACCTGTTATAGTCTTGCAGAAGTGTTCTCCGGAGCTGTCATCTATCCTTTCAAAACTATTTAACAAGTGCTTATCAGAGTCTTGTTTTCCAGCCTGCTGGAAAGCAGCATCTGTTATCCCTATTTTTAAAAATTCTGGAGAGCGATCCGATTTGTCTAACTACCATCCCATTAGTCTTCTTCCTATCATAAGCAAGGTTTTTGAATCTTTAATTAACAAACACTTAATCTCTCATCTCGAATCTCATAACCTACTTTCTGATCATCAATATGGATTTTGATCTTCTCGTTCTACGGCTGATTTGATATCAGTAATAACCGATAGATTTTATTGCGCATTAGATAAAGGTGGAGAGGTTAAGGCCATCGCTCTTGACATTTCTAAAACGTTTGATAAAGTTTGGCATGCTGGTCTTCTCCATAAGCTTTCTTGTTACGGTGTATCTGGAAACATCTTTAAGATTATTGAATCCTTTCTTTCCAATCGTAGTATAAAAGTTGTCCTTGATGGACAGCACTCTTCTTCTTATTCTGTAACCTCAGGGGTTCCCCAAGGTTCAATCCTTGGCCCTATACTCTTTTTAATTTACATTAACGATCTTCCAGATATTCTCACATCTAAGGTGGCATTGTTCGCTGATGATACTACCATTTATTCTTGTCACGATAAGAAGCCAACTCCCTCTGATTGCTTGCAGGGGGCATCTGAGCTTGAAAAGGATCTCACTTCTGCTACAGCATGGGGCTCACAGTGGCTGGTGAATTTTAATTCAGATAAAACTCAATTTTTTTTGGCCAATCGTTATCGCAATAGTTTAGACCTTCCTATATTTATGAACGGTTATGTACTAGATGAGTCATCTACCCTTCATCTTCTAGGATTAAATTTTACTTCTGATCTTTCTTGGAAACCTTATATCAAATCCGTTGCAAAATTAGCATCTGCTAAAGTTGCTTCTCTTTATCGAGCTCGTCACTTTCTTACTCTGGATTCTATTCTCCATCTCTATAAATCTCAAATCCGGCCTTGTATGGAATACTGTTGCCATATCTAGGGCGGATCTTCTAATGATGCCCTTTCTCTTTTAGACAAGGTGCAAAAACGCATTGTAAACATAGTTGGACCTGCTCTTGCAGCCAACCTTCAACCTCTGTCACATTGTCGTAATGTTGCTTCTCTTTCTCTTTTCTACAAATACTATAATGGGCACTGCTCAAAAGAGCTAGCGTCTCTTGTGGCATCTACTAAAATTCATTCTCGTGTTACTCGTCATTCAATTAAGTCTCATCCTTTTTCTGTTACTGTTCCTAAGTGCTCCAAAAACTCTTATTCGTCTAGTTTTTTTTTCTCGAACATCAGTTCTTTGGAATTCGCTACCTTCATCTTGCTTTCCTGATTTAAATAATTTGTAATCTTTTAAGTCGTCTGTCAATTGTTATCTTGCTCTACAATCTTCATCTTTTCTCTTCCAGTAACTTTCAACACTAATTAGTGGTTGCTTGCAGCCTTGTTGGAAGCGAAGATAATTAAAAAAAAAAAAAAAGTGTTTGTATTGAGTTCATAGCAAAAAGGATCTTATGTTGGCTGCCAATGTAGTTCTAACTTACATGCTTATTTACATCAATTCATTTAAATTATTTTAATCACTACTATTTTATGGTAGATTCATGAGTAACAAATTCATAAGAATTAGGAGATGAGAACAAATTCATGTCTAACCAAATTATTATATTTTTATAATTTTTGTTTAAAAATTTTACAAATAGTTTGTCATAATATTTTTAAAATTATACAAATAATTTGTCATTGTATTGAATTTTTAAAATTAAGCAATTTATGTGATAGTAAAATTGTTATTTTTAATTTAAGAAACACCAAAAAAAATTCATGGAGTTTATAACAGCAAGAAATATCACAGAGATGGAGCATTTGTTAGAAAAGGGATTGGATCCTAATTTTCATGATGAAAAATCAGGAGGTACTGAAATTTATGAAAAAATTTAAATCTATTACAATTTGATAACAAAACAGTTTGAGAATTCTTTTTTTAAAATTATTGTCATTGTTTACAAATCTTTACCACATTTTGTACAAATTTTTTATGATTTGCTCTATATTCATAAGCTATTTTATCATAATAATTCTTAACAGATTTCCATTGAAATTTAACCAAATAGAAAAAAACTTTTTTTTTTTAAAATAAACAATAAATAATCATTTAACAAGCTCTTTAAATAGCTAGATGAATCTCTGTGATCTATCTGTTATTTTGAAACAAGGCTCTGATAAGAAGAATTCAAGATTTTTTTATTATTAATTAATGGAAATCAAAACAATTTTGTTTTATGTGTTTATAAGAAGTTCTTTAAGCATTATGTGCATATACTACATGCACATATAATTATCTGACGGAATTATGTTTTAACCTACAAATAAGTTAAAACTTAGTAATAATGTTTATTACTTACTAAGATGGTACCTAAACTTTTTCAGAGAAGTTGTAAAAGAAGATCTTATTTGCATTTATATTTAATAACTATTTGTAAGTGTGAAGGAATCTAATTTTAAGATTAACTTTCCTAGAAAAATAATAGTGAATCACACTTTCTAGAGCGTCACACAATTCAGCAATAAACCATGTTTTGCAATAATATGTAATAAGTAAATAAAGTATCAAGAGCTGCTATAATTTATGAGACGTTTTTTTTCCTTATAAAAAAGAAGTCCATACCATCAGAACTCATTTTTAACTGCTATGAAATAATTTTAATATTTAGGAAAAAAAAGATGCAAAAGAGACAACTAAAGCTACTTTATAATTGTTTTCATTTTTGCTAAGTAATTTAAAAAGCTAAAAACATGTGTGTTTTTGGATTAAGCTTTCAATTAATGCTTACAGTGTTTCCCATGAAAACCTTAACATAACAAGAAAAGTTTTAAAAACAATTAAAAATGGCTTTAAATAAAAAGTGATTGCTGCAAAACTGTGTGCTTTCTACATTGAAAAAAAAAAACATAAAAGAGGACTTACAACATTTATTGTTGAAAAAAAACTTGTGAAAAACATATTAGATTTTAACAATGAAAAGATTTCAAGAGGAGTTTGTGATTACTGCCTAAAGCTGCTGAAAGTTTTGAATCAGGATGACAAAGTTTTTTTTTTTTTTGCCTCAGCTGTTTGATTTTGGTTGAATTCATATCAAGCCACCTACTCAAAACGCTCTGAACTGTGAGTGCTTGATTTGCAAGATCGGAAAACAAAAGCCTAATGAAATGCATCCAGTGAAAAACTAACAAAAGGTTAACAAATGGTTCATGCTCATTCTCAAGCACAGGAGCTTTATCCACACAGCAAAATAAAAAAATGTGCACAGTGTTATCAATCATGTGTCAAGATTACTTCTGGACAGCTAAAAAAAAGACATCAAAATTTGAAAACATCGGTTTTGAATGATCCAAAATGAACTGAACATTGCATCATCAGTCATTGCCACAAAAAAAAGGATCAACCATAAAATTTAGCCATTTATAATTAATTTTTTTAAGTAACTCAAGGTAACAGATTTTCATTGAAAAATTTCAAGTTATTAAGTATATTTTTAGTATATTTCAAATAATATTAATTAAAGTGACATTTTGATTTGCTTAAGACAGTCAAAACGATGGATTTCTTAAACAAATACTCTTAAAAATCAAGAAAAGTTCAATATTCAGCTTAGTACTAGTCTTTCTGATACAAAAATGAGGAAAATGGAATCTACTTTGAACAAATAAACAAGATTTTGATTGGTTAAACCATATTTTGCACAAATATTAGCTGCGTTAGCATAAAAACTTTCTATTTAAAAATTTTTTTATTAAGTTCTGCTTGAAATGGAACGCTTAAAGTCATCTTATCAAGCTTGGAAATGGTGTTGGAGGATTATTTTTGAAAGTAAGTTTTGGTCTTATTAACACATCAAAGGAAACTGATAAAACATCTAGCACCAGTTAATTAATGGTATCAATGAAAAAGTGTTAGAACCTACAACATTACTGGTTTTAATCAACAAAATCAAAGTAATTGCTGTAAGAATCATAAAAATTAACTATAAAATTTACAGCTTGTAAGTTTTAACATAATATAAATTTATTTTTTGTAGAAGATGTAGAAAAACTATTTACATCAAAAGTTCAAGTTTGCACCATTATAAAAAGACTTTTATAATGGTGATTAAAATTTAAGGAAGACCATGCTGATGGTTTCAATACAAAAACAGAATATAATTTTAGAAATGTTAACAATGACTCTTTTAAAGATATATGTAAGGCGATGTTTTTTTTTCTGCAAGAGAATTTATTGTGGTTTAAAAATTATGAAAGCACTGTTCTGGCAAGTTATGGATGTAGCATTTAGTGAAACTTCTATAAAATGCAAAAACAAATTTGTAAACTTTTGAAAATGGCCAAATAAAGATTGTAGCTTTTTTGGCTCAAACTGGTGCCAATCAACTGAAGCTCAAAATGTTGTTAATCAACTGAATTTCAAACTGCTTTCAATCAACTGAGGCTGTCAACACTATAGAATCAGCCTTGTGTGGCAATTTTACTATTCAATGATGCAATTTTGAAAAAATCTTATTTAAATAATCTTAAGATATTTTTTTCTATTATTTTCATTATTTTTTCATAATTATTAAAGTTTTGGTTAAATCATAAAAACAGAAACCTAAATTCTGGTGACCAGGAAACCAGAAATGAGATGGTTATTTGATCTTACTTATTAGTTTTTGTTACTGATTATGATTAAATATTAGTTATTTGGTTTTATTTTTGTACTCTTATGTTCTTAAATAAATTGTTTTATTCGTGTTTGTTGAAATAAATAGTTTTATTCATGTTTGTTGAAATAAATAGTTTTATTCGTGGTTTGTATTATTTGTATTAAAATTATTAATTTAGATTTATAAATTATAATCTATCTAATTAAAACCCCACCTGTTTATCAAATCTGGACTAAATTCACCCCCCTCCTTCCTTTCCTTTCCTTGTGAGAGTAAGTAGAAAGCCAACTTTTAACTACTGTTTTGTAGGTATTTAGTTTTTATGGAATTTAATCTTTCTAGTTTATATATTCACATTTATAGATACACCATTAATAGTAGCCTCCATGATGGATGACTGCATTGCTATTTTGAAACTTCTTGTCATGTTTGGCGCTTATTTGGATTTTCGTTCACATAGTGGTTTAACTGCTTTGCATGCAGTGGCAAATATTGGAAAACTTGAGTCAATGAAGGTTTAATTTATAATTAATTTTATGTTCTGACTAAAAAATAACTTGTTCATTATGATTGAATATAGTATTTAATACATATTTTTTAATTTTTTTTTAACTTGAATATAAATCCAAAATTAAAAATATTTTAGAGTGAAAAAATTTCAAGTATTAATTTAGTACTAAAACTTAATTTTTCTTTTTCCATTAAAAATTTGTATACCTTTTTTTTTTAGTTTTTTTTCTAATTAATGTTTATAAGTTATTTAATGTTAAAGCAAAATATTATTGTAAATTGTAATTATAAAATAAGGAAATATTAAAAAGTAATATCTGTAATAAATTATGGTGGACACTAATATATTATGGTGGACACTAATATATTATGGTGGACACTAATATATTATGGTGGACACTAATATATTATGGTGGACACTATTTATCTCAAATTAGCAATCATCAAAATAGGAGTTGATGATAAGATGATCCACTAACAAAATGATTGTTTATCATTTATTTAATATTTATCTATTATTTTTCATGGAGGGGTTAGGATCTAGAGTCTGACAATGTTTAAAAAAATGCTGTTTTTGCATTTTTTCCAATCCTTTTGTGACTCCATCCATTTCCAATCCTTTTGTGACTCCATCCATTTCCAATCCTTTTGTGCCTCCAATTTTTAATTCAATGTGAAAATGAGTTGAGTTTCAAAATGCAGAATGTTTGCACTATATTTAAAAAAGCCATCTTTAGGAATAACCAGATAAGCCATTTACTGGTTAGAAAACAGTTTTTAGACAACATTTGATATTATAAATTAGCAAAATTGAAATATTTATTTTAAATCTATACTTTAGATAGTAAACATTCACATATGGAAATAAACAAACATGAAAATATACAGAAAACTTAATTTTTTAAAAAAGAATTTTTTTGATTTTATTTTTTGTTTTAATACTTTTGATCTTTTACAAGCTTTTTTTTTTTTTGCAACTAGAAATATAAAAATTATTTTTATATTTAAAAACCTAAAATAATAAAAACATTAATTTTTTTTTTAAATCAAGTTAAGATAAATCATTTACTATTTAGTGGTTATAAAATTAGTAGTGCCATAAAATTAAATTTGAGATAAAGCATCATTAAGCAGTCAAATTGCAACATAATTGTGACATACTTTTGTTTAAATAGAAATTTTTATGGAAAAATTTAAATAATATTAAATATTTAAGCAAAATCTGTTTCAATAATAATAAAAGTTTCAGGAAAACCTGCTGTGGTTTTGTTTTTCAGATTTCAATTACCATGATTTTTAGATTTATACATAAAAGTTTGCAAACAAAAATATTGTTTGCAAACTTTTATGTATAAATCTATTTTATGTATGTAACTGATGTAAAAATAAAAATACCTTAGTAATTACAATTAACACTTTTAAAGTATAACTTCATTTTGGTCAATTATTTTTGTTTAATCAAGATGTTGGGTGAAGTGACATAAAAAATAACACCACAAATTTTTTCTTTCTTTTATCCTGTATAAATCAAGCTGATTTATACAAAAAAAAAATTAAGTTTCTATTAATTTTAAAATCACAAAGGTTTAAGGTTTTTATTATAATTATAAAATTTGAAATAACATCTTCCAGTATTTTTTGTTGGATTTTTTTGTTAATCTAAGGAGATTTGAAATAAAGGTGATGTTACTGCAACTTATTTTTTATGAGTAAAATAAATAATTCATATTTATTTATAAAAGATAAGTTTACAGTCTTATGGTTCCTTTTACTGTAACAGTCTCTTCATAATCAAAAGGTTTTATTCATCTTGCTTTTTTCTTGGTGCTTTAGAAGTGTTCATGTTTTCCTGACTCATACAATTTGCAGTTTTTGCGTGTTTTAGAATATCAGTCAATTTAGGTTTGTCAAATAAGCAGCCATGGCACAATGGTTAGAGTTCTGACTCAGAACCCAGATGTCAGAGCTTCGACGCCGGCTCTAGCCCAATAGGCGACATTTGTAAGGAAGGAGGAGTGAACTTCTAGTTAAGTGCTCTTACGCAGTGCTCTGTGATAAGACCGTAAGGTCTTTTCGGAGCACCTAAATAACACAAAAAAAAATTCTTTGACAAATCCAAATTGTTCTTTCTTGCTCTTTAACTCTGTTTTTTATTTTTTGTTAATACCTAACTAATAAGTAGTTGCTTGCAACTTAATTAGTAGTAGCTTGCAACTTAATTAGTAGTTGCTTGCAACTTAATAAGTAGTTGCTTGCAACTTAATAACTAGTTGCTTGCAGCTTAATAAGTAGTTGCTTGCCACTTAATAAGTAGTGGCTTGCAACTTAATAAGTAGTAGCTTGCAACTTAATTAGCAGTTGCTTGCAACCTTCTGGAGAGTGAATTTGTTTAAATATCTAAAATATTCTGTTAAGTCTAAAGTTATGTAACTATAAAAGTTTTTATTAATTCTAGTTCACTCCCAACAAGGTTGTAAGCAACCACTATTAAATTGGCAGTTACTAGACAACAAAGAATAAAGTTAAAGAGAAAAATAAAGGTTGACAGAAATGCGCAAGGAAAGAAACCAAACAAATAATAGTTTTTAGAGCATGCAAGGACAGATACAGTAAAAGAATAAATAATGAGTCAAGTGAGAATGAGCTTTGGTTAATGGAACTAGAAATAAAATCTCCTTTGAGTAGCGACCATATAGTATTTATAGAAAAGAAAAAGAGATGCAATCTTATGATAATCAGATAGAGCTTCAAGCTAGGCAGATAAAGCAGGTCCAACTACATTAACAATGCGTTTTCGGACCTTGTCTAGTAGAGAAAAAGCATCATTAGAAAAACCAAATCCCAAGAAATTCCATCTAAAAGAATTCAGTCTTGAAAAGAAGGAGAATGATAAAGAAACAATGAGAAAGGTGATAGAGTGAAGAGGTGCTAAGCGGAAGCACATAAATAAATAGTCAGAGGATTCTAACTTGACTTCTTGACAAATTGGTGAATTGATGTGTAAGTATAGGTCCAATTTAGAGTCTTTGCAAATTAACTAATAGTACCTGTCAATACTGAGATCTGAAGAAGGAACAGTGGAATTTAAATTAGTCTCACAAAGAGCATGCAAGTCTAGTGAATTTTGCAAGAGGTTAGATTCGACTGAATGAAGTTAATTTGCAGTCAACAAATATTGGAAAAATATATTGAAAAAGTAAGGTTTAACTTTTTTGGTTACTTTAGGCATAGTTTACGTTTAAAGAGAACTTGACTTATTCATAGATAGACCACAGCATCCCAAGCAAGGAGCTATGCAGTTGTCTCTGTCCTGTTAGTTAACTCAAAGTTTTAACTTAGGGCTTCTTGTGTGACATCAACAATTCACACCAAAAGCATTAATAGGGACACCATGCACAACATGGCACTGTTAATACTCTGATATTTTACAGTTGTTGATGAAATCAGCCTTTTTGAGAGATACTACAGAGTTCAGGAAACCTTACAACCAGCTGGCCTCAGAACAATTAAACAGAGTCTTAGAACTTTACCCTCCTTAGGAGATAATAGGAAGAGTTGCATAACCACTATCAAGGAGGTACTAGCAAAAACCTATGAGAAGAGTCAAGAAGATCAAGACACCATCTCTTGTTTTACTCAACCAAGAGGCCCAAGGCAGGGGAAATTTAAGTTGGAGTTTATTTCTCCTAGTTTTTGCCTATAAAAAACAAACCTTATAGAGCAGTAGGACTTGGGTCAGTATTGGGTTACATGATACCAGTAGCAGGGTGATAATGATGATCCTGAACCTGGCCTTACCTGGAGTAGTTAAAAGAAGTTACTTCCTGTAAGCAGTACTTTGAAACACTGATAGGGAAATTTTGGAAAAACATTAGAAAAAACATTAGATCTAACAGAATACTAGAGAGTATAAGTTTTATAGTTTAAGTCACTATTTAGTAACTGAGCTCATACTGCATCAGAGAGATTTAAGCACAACGTAAGGTTTAAACATAAATATAATAACTTACGGGTGTATAAACACCGTACCCTAGGTGCAGACAGAACACAAACATACATGTAGTAACTTATGGTTGAATGAACACCCTGCCAAAGATTCAGGCAGAACTCAAACATACAAACAGAACTCAAACAAACTTACAGGTGAGTAAACACTGCTGCATAGTTTTTAACTTTACAGCTCAAAGACAAACAGTAGATTACAAAACCTTTACCTGAATTAAATATGTATATATTTTTTATTAAATTAAATATGTATATATATTTTATTATGAATTAAATATGTATATATATTTTATTATGAATTAAATATGTATATATACCTGAATTAAATATGTATATATATTTTATTAAATATCAATAGATTATGAAGGGATTTGTACACTCATATGCTTCTTACAAATGGCAGAGCCCTAGGTTACTTATACTATGACCAGATAGATTTTCAATTATTAATTATAAATATTAAGTACATAAACATTAAGTACAAACATACTTTGTATTTAATTAATATTTATTGTTTAATTAATATTTATTCAACTAAGTCTTAATTAAATGCGCCTTTAATACCTTCACAGGTATTTTATTTGTTTAAAATTTGATAATAAAAATAATGATTTGATAATAATATTATTGATAAATTTTATAATAGAGTTATGAACATTTAAATGGTTGTTTCAATTGTAATATAAAAAATAATTTACCCAATAAATTATGTACCTAATAATTGATGTGCCTAATAAATTATGTAATTAATAAATTATGTACCTAATAAATGATGTACCCAATAAATGATGTACCCAATAAATGATGTACCCAATAAATGATGTACCCAATAATTGATGTACCCAATAATTGATATACCCAATAATTGATGTACCCAATAACTGATGTACCCAATAACTGATGTACCCAATAATTGATGTACCCAATAAATGATGTACCCAATAAATGATGCACCCATTAAATGATGTAAACAAAAATACAGGGGTGGGACCGCAAAATGTGAACACTTTTCTGATTGTAATAATTAATTTTCTGTTAAATATGAACTATTTTAAATAAGAATGTCCAATGGTTGGACATTCTTATTTAAAATAGTTCATATTTAACAACTCTTTAGACACTTTCTGATGAGTGAGAGAGTACAACTACATCTAACGAGAAAATAGTTATAATAAAACAAAAACGTTCACATTTTGCGGTCCCACCCCTGTATACTTAAAAACTACTTTTAATCTAATCCTTATTATTAATCTGCATAATGGAGATTTTATCTATACTCTACAAAATAAGGGACTTTTTGATTTTTCTTCCAGTAAGTTTCTAAATAGAAATAAAAATGAAGTTAAAAGTGAATATAAAGCAGGTGATTATAAAAACAATTGTGAGGTGGAAAATCACAACCAAGACATTTAGGTAAAAATTTGATCAACATCTGTTCATAGTTAAGTAAAGTATTAACTGTGGAGACATTTTAGAAACAAAAAATTTATATTATTAACATAAATAAATATAGATTATGACAAGCATGTTGGTTTGAATGATTTTTATCATTAGGGCGTAAAAAGCACAATGAGGGATGAATAAAGCGTTTATAATTTTTTTGTATAACTGATGACAAAATGACAGACCTGATTGCGACATACACAGAGATTGTTAAAATGAAAACATTTCTCAGTGTATTCTTATTTATGGGAGCTGTAAACTCTAATTATTTATTATTGTCAAATGTATTTTATATATCTTAGGTATCCTTTTTTGCTATTCTTTTTAAATATCCTTTTTAACTTAAAAAAATTGAAAAGATGAGATTCAAAAGTTAAAAATCAAATTTTTTTCGCCTTTAAAATTTTTTACATATTTATGATAAAAATTGTAATTTTTTTTAAAGAGACCGCTTTGAAATGTATATGAATCTGGTAAAAATCTAAGTGTTGATGAGTTCATTTTAAATGAAAATTTTGTTTTAAGCAGTATATAAAAAAAACTAAAGTATTTACTAGTATAAAGTTGTATGAGTTGACAACATCTGATGATATCATGTTAAACTTGTTGATTTACTGTCGTAAATCAAAAAGTTTTATTAAAGCTAATAATTTGCTATTAATAGTACCTAACAAAAAGTATTTATATTTAAGTATATAACTTTTGGTTTAAAAAACTTTTTAAAGGTAGAACCTGCTAGAATTGTACATACTGTATTATACTTTTGAAGAGATTTAGTTGTTGCTTTAAAAAATTTTTTCCTAAAGTTGAGAAGTAATCATTTGTGTTGATGTGACGTCATGCAACTAAAATAGTTGTAAGATTTTTTTTTTTAAAAAAACAAGAAAAAATCTTGAAAATTTTAGAAAAAGAGATAAATTTTCATTCTAGATTATTATTTGGAATGACAAAAGGTAGAAATTGTTGTTTTTTGTTCGATTAGACGCGGTAAATAAATATTGATGGTAAAGATAAAATGTTGTTGGATTTTCTTAATAATTTGTGTGGTATTGTTTAAATTTTCTCTAATGCGTTGTTTAGCAACTGGTGCGATGTTGTTTTTTTTCTGTGGTTTTTTTTGAGCTGGTATGGAATTTCGGTTTCCTTGTTGTGATATTTTCTAACTGATGCGCTTTTTATTTGTTAGTTTTTTTAGAGAAAAGTGCAAAATACCAAGTCCCTTGCTAACTGTACCGGCAGTTGCCATTTAGGTTTCTTGAGTCAAAGGTCTTAATAAAACTAAACTTTATAGAAATAGGTCTTTGGTATTCTAGTCGAATTTTATTATTTTGAGTATATAGACAGAGGCCTTCTATAGCGGTAGAAGCCAACTTGCTTATCGACTAATTCAGTATCTGACTGCTATTATGCTTTTTTGTTATGTAAATGTGTTTTGGCTCGATATTTTATTGATATATTGAAACAATTTAGTTTGTGTTTAATTTTTATCCGGTTATTACGAATTCCATCCGGTTTATTGTTTGTTAACATTCATTTTATGTCTTAAAATATGTTACTTTTTTTTTTAAAAAAAATTTTCAGTCGTGAAATAAAAATTTCGAAAGATTTTAGTTTAAATTTAAATTTTGGAAAAAATTATTAAAGGATTAAAGTTCTTTTGTGTTTTTGTTTTTAATACGCGGTTTTATAAGTTGTGTCAATTTAAATTAAATCGAGATCAGAAAAGGTCGCGAGAACGTTTCAAAACATAAACCGCTTAAAAAATAAGAAATTATTTTCTTCGTTTGGGTAATTATATTAATTATATTTTTTTGCTAAAATATTTATCATGTAATTTGTTATTATTATTATTTTATTATTATTTTATTTTTAGGGTTTGCTTGATCTTGGTGCTTCTCCAAATTACAGAGACGCGAGTGTACGTTTGAAAATGATTTTATGTTAACTTAGGCTTTGTTAATTTAAAAAAGTCATTTTAATAATACTTATATTCTGTCAATAAAAAAAGGCAAATTAATGAATCTAACAGACTACGCTACTAACTTAATAAGCAGTTTTAGACGTTACTTAATTTTCTTATTAACGCTAATTTTTGACTTGATAAACAAGTGATTGTAAATTGATTATTAGTTCATCGTCCTGTAAAATAACTTATAAAACCTCAAAGCTTTTTTATTGACATTAAGTCATTTGCTATATATAATTGGCTACGTATTATAAGTCGTAATTAATTTTTGCGTTATAAGAAAATTATTTACAACAATATTAGCTTATTAGAGAAATTCCGTGATTTATAATGCTTTTTTTAGGGATTTACGCCGTTGTATCATAGCATAGTGTCGGGTTCAAGTCCTAATATTAGCCAGTCTTTATTATATGAAAGATCTGAGATTGGTATTATTGATTTACATGGTTTTTCAGAAATCCATCAAGCCTGTAAACACGGTCATTCTCAACATCTGGAACATCTTATATATTACGGAGCTGATATGAATTCTAGAACGTCATCTGGAAGTACACCATTGCATATATGTGCGCTTGAAAATCAGGAATCTTGTGCGAGAGTGCTATGTTTTCGTGGTGCTGATCGAAACTTGCGCAATTATTCTCAACAAACACCATATGAAGTTGCGATTGTTGCTAATAATTTTGATGTTGCGGCTGTTATAAATGAATTTAATGAATCCGATGTTAAAAGATTTAATGAAAAGCCTGTTTTTAGTAAACGGCGTTCTAAAAGTTCTAGTAAGAATTCTAACCAATTAGACATTTCGTCTTTAGCACCAGCAACAGTTAATACAAGTTCGCTTCCTCCGACTATTTGCTCTGTAGACTCACCGAACTCTGTCTCAAACATTGAAGGCATCCAAAAGCCTGAAATCCCAAGTAACTCTTTAAACCCTTATTCTGAAATGTTACCTGATTATTCTGAATCTGAAACCGATTCTGAAGACGATAGTGGGATTAAATCCAAATCTAATAGACGAACATTTTCTAATGGTGGTCTCGGAACGCAACGTTCTCCCGCACCGATTAAAATAAAGCAAACTGTACCAATAACATTAAGAAAACGTTTATATGCTAGCGTTCCAGGGCGTCAATATATTGCCATTACTGATTATGAACCTACTCAAGCTGGAGAAATTAAATTAGACAAGGGTGATGCTGTTGAAGTACTTTATATAGGAGAGCAAGGCTTTTGGGAAGGGAAAGTCGAAAATCGTGCTGGTTGGTTTCCAGGTTATTGCGTTCAAGAGATTAGCAAATCATTAAATGGAGCAGACAAAAAACGCTCATGGTTCGGATCTAAAAAATCTCCTATTGATATAGTTGATAAAGTGTCTAAGCTGGACACTCCGAAGGAGCGCGAAGTGGTATTAAAGCGTGGTGACAAAGGTTATGGTTTTCAAATGAGAGGTGCAAACTCTCATGTTCCGCACATTGAATTTCATCCAACTCCTCAGTTTCCAGCTTTACAATATATAGGCGAGGTTGATAAAGGAGGAATAGCAGATAAAGCTGGGTTAAAAGCGGGTGATTTTGTTTTAGCAATCAATGGTGAGGAAGTTATTAGTGCTACACATGGTTACGCTGTTTCACTAATTAACAAAGGTGGTAAATCATTAACCATCAAAGTTATAACTGTCGCTCCGGAAATAGTAAACCCAGAACTCATTTTACAAAATGGTAGCCTTCGTTCAAAAGATGCTTCTGAGTTAAAAGAGTCTTTAAAAGCAGCAGGAGTCAATATTGTTGAAAAAAATAAACCTCTGCCACCGACTCGGTCTATAACGACATCATTATCACAATTTGGAAATGAAGAAGGCGAATCCTCTCTATTATCTGAGGCAGCCATTGCATTAGAATCAGAGACAGTTGTACTTGAAAAATCTAATTTTCGCAATACGAGCATGAAAGGAATGTGGGCAGGAAACGCTTTTAAATTAAAAGGGGAAGAATTGAAAATTCGTGATGAAGATATTAGTCGTGGAATTTCGCGAAGACAGAAAGGACTTACTTGTGATTTTGCTTCCGACTTTGATCAAAGGTTTAAGCTAATAACAAAACAATATGATACAAAGTTTAATTCGAATCCTTCTCTTGCAAATTTATCCTTCGAAGAAAAGTCTGAAAATATGTCTAAAAATAGTAAAGCTGTCCCTCAAATAACTCCACCTGACTATGACAGTACGATAGAAAATATTCGAAAAGGACGTACAAACTCACTTAGCGGAACTGAAAATAAGCCTAATAAAAATATTATACCGCAAGAGATAATTGATGTTATGCGTTTTGAAATAACTAGTAACTATGATTTTAGAAGTACGTCAAGTTATTCACCTGAAGATTATAATCAACAAGATGGGAAGAGTGCAGTAGCTCATACTGTTTTATCGGCGCATCAAAACATGCTCTATAGTACTGATAGCATAGCACGATTATCATCTCCAGAAGGTTCTAAAACAATTCCTTTTGTTCATCAAGACAATATATCTCGACAAACACTACAAGTTGATGGATTAGTTCGAATGCAGCATTTACGTCAGCAACAGATGAAAATTCCTCCAATTCCAACAGCAATGCCTCCGCCACCGCCACTTTCTGAAAATCGCTCGCCATCACCCCAATTTAGTAACTATATTCCACCTCCTCCGCAACTACCATCGTTAAATTCTTTGGCATATTCTAAAACTGAAACTACTTGCAATTCTAGTAAAACAACTATTGACAATAATTTAAGAAAATCTGGAGATAATAGTATGAATGATCATGACCACTCTTCGGTTCTTTCTCAAGCAATTGCAGCACGAGCAGCAAAAATTTCAAAAACGACAGACTTATCCACAGATTTATCTAATACTAAAAAAACAAACTTAACCGCTTCCTCTCTTGTTACTAAAAAAACAGAACTGGACAATATTTCATCGGTCGCTAAAACAACTGATTCCGGGTTACCAATAACTAAAGAAACTTCTGAATCTGAAAATTTAAAAGAAAGTTTTTCTAAAAAAAATTTTTTTAAACCAGATTCCGAGAAAGTTGAAAATGAGATTGAAATTGAAGATAAAGAAAAAAAATCGCTAGTTACCATGAAGAATGTTTCTCTTACATCAATAACAAAATCACCTGAAATAAAAGCACAAAAAAAAGAATTGCCGCCTTCGACTAAACCAAAACCCAAAAAAAACGCTTCAGAGAACACTAAACTAAACACATCTTTTGTTGTTACAGATTCTGTTTCTAACGGTTCAAATGTTAACAACAAAAATGCTACCACATCGGACTTAACTAATGTTGACGTTGCGGTAATCTCCGACGTTAATAATAGTAGCAGTGAAATTATTCCAATTGTTATTAACAGCAAAAGTCAGAAAGTTTCGTTGTCAGAACAAATAGCAACATCATATTTAGATGGAGTAATAGCTGACGCTGAAGCTAGCCTCGATTATGAATTAATTTTGAGTAATCGCACAGCCACAAACAGCGGTTCAGAAGTATTAAGTGAACTTTTACCTCCTCCACCATCGAATGTAATCCAGCTTACAGATTATAACGATCTTCGTGATGAGTTTCTTCCTCCGCCTCCAAACGATCTTCTTTCCGAGGTATTTGCTTTTATTTAAACCGATGTTCGCCATTTTTGTTTCCTTTCATTTTATAATTTTTATTATTAATTTAGATTGAAAATGAAAAGATAACGAATAACAAACACATACCTGACAAGTATGTTGGCTTATTTACCTAATTCTTACTGTGTTATTTATTTTTTAAATTTGGGTTCATTTACCTAGTTCTCACTGTGATATTTATCTTTTAAATATAGGAATGATACCGCATTGGCAATACCAATGACTATTTTACCAAGGAAGATAGCTGAAAAACATTTTAAGGAATGGACAGTAAATGATGTTGGGGATTGGTTGGATTATTTAAATTTAAGCCAATATAAAAAAACTTTCTCAGATAACGACATAATGGGAAATCATCTTTCTGATCTTACAAAAGATGAACTAAGAGAGTTAGGTGTGGATAAATTGGGTCATCGAAAAACTATAGATGATGCCATAAAAAAACTTTTAATCAATAGTTAAGGCATGAAATCTTTATAATATACGCGTGTTTGTGTTTATATACATACATACACACACAAACACGAACACACACACACACACGTGGGACATCGAATTTTGGGTAGGATTTAGCAAAGACAAAAGTCAAATTGCATCTGTTATTTAGCCTTTCGCGAAATTTTCGGCAAGCAAATTTTGTGTTGTATTTCTGCGGTTAATTGTATGTATGCATGTATATGTATGTGTGTGTATATATATATATATATATATATATATATATATATATATATATATATATATATATATATATATATATATATATATATATATATATATATATATATATATATATATATATATATATATATATATATATATATATATATATCTGTGTGTGTAAAAGTGTATTTTTTTTTTTTTTTTTTTGGAAAATGGAAATCGTCACTTTTTTCCATAACAGAATGAATCCTATATTAGTATTTGTTGATTTCTGTCTTTTTTTTTTCATTTATTGTTTTCTTATGGAAATAAAATATAAACTTAAAAATGAACTATTTACGTGAAGATTTTAATATATTATTCTTTAAGATTATGATTATATTTTTTGTATTTAACAAATATTCAAAATGGAAAGAATGTCTATTTTTGCAGAAAAAATATCTTGAAAAAAAAGGTGTTATTTGACATTACTTATTGGTTTTATATTCATGAAGTGCTATTTTCATAAAGTGTAAATGATTTCCGAATAAAATTAATTGTAAACGCAAACTTTTTTTCCCACTGGAACAGTAAAATGCGCTAGTTTACAAGCAGTTCTGCGAGCAGAAGTAAGAGCATTTTATAATGCAACCACTATAAAACGAATGCGTGTATTAAAAGTGTTCAAACAGCATTACAACTGACCATGGGTGACAAAGTTTTATGTATCAGCTGAGGATGCAGTTTTTGATCCTGTCACAAGAATCCAGGTAGTAAAAGATATTTTGGAAACAATCAGCAGTTGTGAAACTAATCCAGCTATACTATTTTTTTAGAAAAACTTTTCTCCCAAATATTTTAGAATCAATAATAACTCTATACTCAATTGGTGACTTATTAACATGATTTTGCTTGTCTTAATGCTAGATGTCAATATACTGTCATATCAGTATTAGGTTCAAAAATAATAAAATGCATTTCTTCTTTTGTATTACATCGACACTCATGGTGGACTACTGCAAAGAATATAGGTAGTGATTAGGTAAGGCAATATAGACTGAAGCGTAAATGGTTTAGTGAAGCTAAAGGATCCCCTTATGCAATAGTTTAATATATATCTTGTAAATAAGGATGAAAATAGAAACATCTAGTTAGTTTACACCATTTATGTAAAGAAATGGTTAAGTATGTAAAAAAGGGGTTGATCAGCTGAAAAAGTCACGTATCAAAATAAACTTGGAAAATGCTAGAAACTTTTTTTTAACAGGGTTGGTCACTGCGATGATCCAAGTTAAAATCTATTTATGGTAGTATTAGGTTTTCTAAAATAATAGTTTTTTTTATTTATTTGTTAATTAATTGCTTCTAATATATTAGTTTATAAATAAAAATATATATGGAATTGGTTAATAACGTTTGTTTTTTTTTAATTTCATTTTTTACGCGCATTTGAGTGTACATTTAATGACTGAAATAACCGTAATAGGGGCATTAAGTGTACATGCTTCTACTAATTTTATTAGTCATAGGCGCAATGGAGTGTACATAAGCTTACAGATTTATTCGTAATGGAGTATACATTAGGGAATATCATACTTTAAAAAAGTTTTAAGCTTTCAAAATGAAAAATTTGAGGAATGTTTTATCTTGTGGTAGGTATTTCTAAGCAACATTGAATTTAAAAAATGACACTTTCAGCCATTGGGCAAACTCTAAACATAAGAATGTTCATGCTTATGTCAAATGGCAAGGTTTTGTAAAATACTACGGTGATTGGAACTGAAAAACAAAAAAAAAATTCCCGCCTTTCTGAACGTGAGGACAATGAGCTAATATGATAATTTTACTATCTTTGACTCAAATTTTATCTGATAATTTTTTAGTGTTTGAAAGTTATGACCATCTAAATCCTCCACTCTTTCCAAAATGAGGGAGTTGTAAATTTTACATGTTTATAATTTTAGGACACTAAAAGATTCTTAACTGAATTTTCTAAAAGTATCATATCATCAAAAAAACAAAAAATGTTCTGGGAGCCAATGGATTTGTTTGAGTTTAGATATAATTATAAAAAAACACATTCTAATAAACAATAAATGTTTCACTAAAACTAGGCTTTAACATCAACTATAAAGTTTCATTAAATCTTTCTTGGATTTTATAGATACAAGTTACACAGATCTGTGCTCTATTCTTGTACTAATAAAACTATCGCTTCTCTAAAAACCACAAACAATAGCTGCTGTTTTACACTGTAAAAAAACTATAAAATATAACGCCAAAATAACAATAAAAATATAACGCCAGAGTTGAGCAAATATAACGGTTGTTATCCGTTATTATGGCGTTATATTGGCGTTATTTTGGCGTTAGTTTTATCCGTTATATTTGCTCAACTCTGGCGTTATATTGGCGTTATATTGAAGAAGATGAACTAACGGCAGATGCGTTATATTTGGCGTTATATTTATTATACAGATCCTATATTTAGGAGCACAACATTAAAAAACAAAAATAAAAACGATTTAGGATAATAATCATGATTATTATCTTAACGTTTAATTTTTTTATTGTTTAAAATTTAAAAATATTTATATATTTGGTTGATTAACGTTGTATAAATAAACTTTAGACATTGTTGTAATTATTTTTTAGTTTATTATAATAATTTTATTTCATATTATATGTCCTCAATCTATACATAATTTAACTAAACATATTCAGTTAAAATATTTATAAAGTGCATAACTGCATAATAAGTATGCACTTTATAAATATTTTAACTGAATATGTTTAGTTAAATTATGTATAGGTTGAGGACATATAATATGAAATAAAATTATTATAATAAACTAAAAAATAATTACACCAATGTCTAAAGTTTATTTATACAACGTTAATCAACAAAGTTGCACAAAATATAATCACTTTTAAGAAAAAAAAAGATTGACAAATCAAGAATTTTTTATTTTTTCATATTTCTTTAGGTTTATTTCATATATTTCTTAGGATTTTTTATTTACGATTTATTTTTTAGTTTTGCTGTTATGCGGTCTTGTAGTAATGTTTTTTCTTTAGTTTTTAGCGTATTAAGTTTTACTTTATATATTTTGTTAGTCATTTATTGTTTTATTTTTTCTTTATTAATTATTTTTAAATAGTGATATATAATTTTTTATACAGTTATATATTATTTGTTTTTATTTTCATTTTAGCTATTTATCATATATGTTTTATTCTACCATTTTATTATATATTTTTCTTCTTTATTTGTTGTTGTTTTTAGTTTTTATTTTATGTTGTTGTTTTTTTATTGTTTTTTTTTTGTTGTCAAAAATATTTAACGTAATTTTTTGTTTTGCTCTTGATGTTTGTTGTATCTTTTGTTTTGTTTTGATTTTTTAAGTGTTTTTCTGTTTACATTTTATTTAATTAGTTTCTGCTTACATTTTATTTATTTATTATTTGCAACATATTTTGGTTATGATCAGAAATCTTAATCCGCCACTGGTTATGATATTATAAGAGTTATGATTAATATATTTTCTAAATCATTATAATTTTTTTTAACAATAGTTGTTTTTATGTCATCGTTAGTTGTTACGTTTTGTCAGTTTATTACTGTTTGTAACTGTAACTTTGTATGTATAAGCGATTGTTGTATAGAAAGTTATACCGATTTATTTAAATTGCTATATTATTTATATTAATTACTATATTATTAATATTACTATTTTTAAAGTAACATGTTATTATTATTATTATTATTTTTATTTATTATTATTGTTATTATTTTTATTATTTATCATTATTTTATTAAAAATATTTTTATTAATTTTATTACTATAACTATTTTAATCATTGTTATTAGGTGTTTACTTAATATTAGTAGTTTATACTATTTGTAAGCAACCTTGAAATGTAATGTAATGTAATACCAATTATTTCAGAAATATATAAGTTTTAAGAGATATAATATAAAACCTTACAATTGGGTACAATATGTTGACACCACTAAAGATTACAAAACAAAACAAGATAACTAAATTAAATCATGAGTGGTTTATAATATGTAATCATTTAATTAAGCAGTTATAAGTATTTAAAAAATTATAAAAAATAACCTAACCATTGCTACCTGATTATGATGCCACTAAAGAATACAAAAGTAAAGATATATACTGAATGAACTTAAAAATATACCTTCTTATACATAAATGTATGTCATTTATAATAATTTTAAAAAGATCAGTGATCAGTGAATCAGTGAGATTATCATTGGAAAAAAAGTTGTCATCACCTAAGAACACGTCTTAAAAAAGGGCATAACATAAAATCATTTAATTGGTTTTTAAAAACTATTTTGAAAAGATATAACTTTATAACCATTGCTACTTGATGTTGATGCCACTATTAAATACAAAAAACAAACAAACAACCCTCTTTAAAATTTATGGAATATATACTTGTAGTGAAAAGATACATGTAACTTTACCATTGGTACCAGATGTTGATGATACAAAAGTCTGCATAATAAAAAATGCCATTAAAAAGAATATAAAATAAAAAGTTTAATAAGCAAAGGACACCTTGATAGTTTATGGAATATAAACTCGTATTAAAAAATACATGTAGATTTACCACTGATACTAAATGCTGTTGGCACTAAAGACTACAATATACAGGGGTGGGACCGCAAAATGTGAACGTTTTTGTTTTATTATAACTATTTTCTCGTTAGATGTAGTTGTACTCTCTCACTCATTAGAAAGTGTCTAAAGAGTTGTTAAATATGAACTATTTTAAATAAGAATGTCCAACCATTGGACATTCTTATTTAAAATAGTTCATATTTAACAGAAAATTAATTATTACAATCAGAAAAGTGTTCACATTTTGCGGTTCCACCCCTGTAAAATAAGTAATAACTAAAAAAGACATCTTCTTATACTAAGTCATTTATATAATTTTATTTATGATTTTCGTATATCATTTATAAGTCATATCAGTCATTTTGAAAAGATTTAACCTTACCATTGCTTCCAGATGTCATTAAAGACTAAAAAATAGAAAAGATAACAAGCACAAAAATATCTTTAAAATGTATCTCATTTATAATGATTTAAAAAAGATATAACCAGTAGGATTATCATTCGAAAAAAAGTTGTCATCACCTAAAAACACGTCTTAAAAAAGGGCATAATATAAAATCATTTAACTGGTTTTTAAAAATTATTTTGAAAAGATATAACTTTACCATTGCTACATGATGTTGATGCCACTAATAATAACAAAAAACAAACAAGCAAACAACCCTCCTTAAAATTTACAGAATATCTACTTGTAGTGAAAAGATACATGTAACTTTACCACTGGTATCAGATGTTGATGATAAAAAAGTCTGTATAATAAAAAATGCCACTAAAGAATATAAAATAAAAAGTTTAATAAGCAAAGGACACCTTAATAGTTTATGGAATATAAACTCGTATTAAAACATATATATAGATTTACCACTGATAATAAATGCTGTTGGCACTAAAGACTACAATATAAAATAAGTAATGACT